GGGGGGGCATGGCAGAGGGATATATTCCCGACTCCGATCCGACAATCCCGGTCTTTTGTTTTCCTCCATCACGTCCGGACGGCGCACGACGACTGCTCGCGACGTTTTCCACCCTTGTCGTTTCTCCAAAGTTCTCGGCCAAGCGTTTGTGAATGTTTTTCGGTTTGACTTTTACATTTTTTTGGGGGGTGGGGGCCCCCCGTCACTTCTTGTGGAAGTAGATGGTATGGGTGAGTCCCGACTCCACCTTTGGTATCTGGTCGCTGATGATCTCCACCAGCATGTCAGGGAACGCCACCTTCAGGGCTCGCGACTCGCGGAAGGTGTAGAAGCAGAAGTCCAGCAGGTTGGCCACCAGCTGCGGCACAAAAAAATATTACATTTCCATTGGGCTTTTTTTAAGTCATTTCCATTGATTCGTTTTCATTGATTTTAGTCTCTTAAGTGCTGATTTTTCTTTTGGTTGTTGTCCAATGATCATTCGATTAATTTATCATCAAGCAGTTTGTACATTTCGTAAATACGAGTATTTTCAAAACTTGATTCAGGCCCAAGAATTCTGCCTAGCAACAAGGTTTTTAATGCAACCGGCAAAGAACGATGAAAATGTAAATTCACAAGTTTATATCCGTTTGTCGTGAAATCACAGAAAATAATTGGGGGGGTGGGGGGGCAAAATCTCATCGTATTACAACTGTATTCCCACAAAATAATTGTTTTTTAAATCTCATAAATGTCACCTTTTTTTTTTTTTTTGTCGTGAATTACAATTTTGTTTGTCCTCAGGTCTATTGGAAATTTTAGATTTATTTTGGGCAATTAGAACTTGAATTACTTTTATCATTTTGACGCTACTATCAAATCTAAACTTTATTTGTGCCAAATTACGATCACATTTCTACGTTCACAAAAGAAAGGGTTTTGGTGGTATTGCAACTTCATTCTTTTAAAACAATCTTTCCTCAAATATGAAGTATTTGGATTGCGATTTTGCCGTTATATTTTCTTGCGATGGGATTGATACCAAATTTTGCGGAACCGCAAATGCGCGTCATTTTTGGTCCTGGAAAAGGCACAAAAAAATGACAGTACAAATTCACATTGGAGACCAACAATTTAAAATGAGCTCTTTGGAGGACTCTTATGTAGAGCAACCGAAATGGACTCTGACTGTACCATGCTTTGTGCAGCGGAATGGACTCTGACCCCTTTCCGGTTCACTCTACCTCACCACAAGGGGGCACTTACGATTTCAGCATCTACGACCCCACTCATGCACGCATTCATGTTTGTGAATCTGGGCAAATAGGCGCTCTACAGCGACCACTGTGATCCAGAAAACTGTCACTTGGCATTGATCCCCCCCCTTCTGTTCTGGTCGGGCCGAAATAACCGCAACCTCTCGGGGGGCCAGATTGGGATGCGGTAATCCTTATTTGGAGCCACTGCATCAGCCAACCGCTAAGTATGATCCAAATCTGCTCTGCTGCCATTCCAGAAAGAAAAAAAAAATTCCAATGATATCAGTGGCCCAAAGTTGCCAGTGAGCACCTCCCTGCGTGCGCAAACGCTGCCAAAGGAGGGGTGGGACTGCCGGGGTATACTTACACCATGCATGGCGTCCAGTAGCTTGGTGAGCTGGAAGAAGCGCTGCCAGGTCTGGCCCGAGTTGTTGGTTGCCTTCCCCACGGAGCGCCGGAGCTCCTTGATGTAATTAACTCGCATTTCCTCGAACGCCGCCTGGTTCTTCAGACCCTCTTTGGGAACTGCGAAGCAAGCGGATGCCACAGTCATTAGACAGAGGAGGGATGGGGGCCGGCGGCTTGGACCTGTGACATCTGGTCCAAGGACCCATGTCAGAAATTTTCATGAGTGAAAAGTAAAAATTCAATTTTTTTTACAAATTCAAGACATTTAAAAAACACATTTATTAAAAACAGGAAAAAAGTAAATACAATGACATGGCCTAAGTATAGGTTTTTTTTTTTCCAATTGTATAACGTACTATAACAATAGTCACACAGTGACGACTGAGCGAACTAAATTTCCCGCAGCACTGATTGGACAAGCAATGTCATGTGATCATCTGCAGCCAGAGATGGCCAAGCGAGCGTGTCATAACTAATTGACATGTTGAGTCGGGGATGTCATAACCTCCATGGCAGAGGCTCCGTCGAACCCCTGAGACCGGATTCACTGAATCCCTGGGGTTTGATCGAACCCAAGTTAAGAACCACTGATACACACACACACACACACACACAAGATTGTCTGTGGCGCTGGAAAAGTGGCCAAACACGCGGACCAGCGGGAATGTTATCGTCTCGTAAATTCTTTGCGCTGAACACACGTCACCTTTTTATAGCACAACCTTTTTTTTTTTTTTTAAATCCAGCAACGCTTTTGAAGAGCAACGAGTCCACATTGAAGAAGCGGCGGAATGGCTCGCCCGTTGGCCACTTCCTGTCAGTTAGCATCGCGTCTGTTTAAGGACGGGATGCTGCTAAGGTCAACGACTCGGCAGCGCGCTTGCGGATTCGTCTGATCATTTTTGGCTCTTTCGCGCACAGATGAGCAAACACCTGGAGGCGTGGCTTTCACCGGGAAGATTCAAAAATAGGAGAGTGTTAGGCGGACGGAACTTATTTCATGGCTGACATGATGAGAATGTGCTAATACCAAAAGCATGTGTTTGGGCTTTTGTTTTTTTTTTTGTTTGTTTTTTTTTTTCTCTCCCTTCCTGCTGACCTACATTTGCCCTGAATAGAATGTGACCTGGCATTTAGGAGCGGTACAGAGGATGTGCCCACTCCACGGACCGCCACCCCCCACCCTTCCGAACCCCCTTGAAACAGGTCACGCTCCTATCGCGGTAATTGGTGCCAGAGATGTTTTCGCTGTGGGTAACGAAGCCTGTTTGGAGGCCTCGATATGCCTGAAATTTGATTTAAAACTTGCTCAGAGGTGACCCCCGGAAAAGTTAGAAAATATTTGGGTGTACCGGTCCATCCTAACAAAAAACAAAATTGACTGTTTTGGTGTGTGTGAAGCAGCCATTTTGGGAGCGAATTCCATGAAAAAGGGCCCTGGAAAAACAGACACACACACACACACACACACACACACACACACACACACACACACACACACACACCTGTTTCACAGCTATCAACACGAAACTGTGCGAATGTGTCAAGAAGCCATGCCTTGATTGAGCAGGAAGTCTGCCATTTTGTTGTGAAGCAGCCATTTTGAGAGCAACTTCCATTTTTTAAAAATAAGCAGCAACACAAAATTCTGTGCACGAGTCTTGTCACAGAAGTCACCCCCTCCCCCCCAAAAAAAAAAACAAAACTCAGGTCGGGCTGCCTCTTTGTAATCTTTTTATAATTGACCCTATCGACTAGTCCGTCAAATAATCGAGTCATCGGATAGCTGGAGTTCGAGAGCAACGCTATTTATTTATTTACTTGAATAAATGCACACATATTCGACCGTGACCAAGTCCCGACGATTTGGTGTTCTCAGCGGTGACTCATTTGCAGCATCATGTCCGTCTGCGCAGCAGTGAGGCCAAAGCGCAATGCCAAACGGGGGGTCATCGGACACCACGGGCTAGATTGAAACCCAAACCCAAGGTCAGTGAGAGCATTAGCAGCTCCTTTCTCATTCTCTTTACCCCCCCTCACCCCCCTCCGCGTGCTTTCGTCGGTTCCGGCCCAAAGGCGCTCATTGCCCGGCCGTCGTATGCCGACCGGCTCTGACAACTACAGTGGAAACACTCGCCGTGAAAACGAGTCATGGCCGCTTCCCCGAATCTTATTGCGCGTCGCCTCGCTTTTCCAAACGCTCGAAGTAAGGAAAGGGGAAAATGGCAGCTCTTGGAGCTCGGCCGTGCTCGGTGGCAAAGCTCCAGGCAAGCGGTGAGCACCGGAGGGGGAGGCCGCGGCAACAGAAGGCCCGGCGATGACCCCCCTTTGACTCTCCTTTTGTCTTTGTTTTTCCAAAGATGGCTTCCTTTTTCGCTCATCGGTTTGTCCTCAAATGTACCCCGTTTAGGAAGAATCCATCTTGGATTCTTTTTTGAAGAATTTCCATCCTACTTTTTGGTCAAAAAAGTATCTGGGCAGGTTTTCACGACTTTTGAGTTATTCATGAGAATATTTCTGGCAAATAACGAGAGACGGTCGACTAATTGGGTACTTCACTCGTCGATAGTTGACTCGGCATGTGTTCTCTCTGAGTGGCCTGTGCTTTTAAGTTCTCCCTTCCAGCACGCACGGTTCTTGACACGACAGTCAGTGAACTATTTAAAGTCAACTTAACCCTTTCGTGCACTCTGTAACCTGATCAGATGATAAGCTGTCCGCTGTAGTAGCCGCTGTCCCCTGAAAGGGTTAAAATTTGGGAACAGTGACCAGGGCGTCTTCTTTGCACACAGCACCTACACGTAAAAAGTGTTTTCAAGTGCGTCTTGAGCCACCAAATGCTATTCCTCAAACGGTTCCGGTTCCCGGAATTTCTCGTCATGTTTCAGTCGACTTCAGTGAAGCTCGCCCTGGTACGTTTTGTAAATTGTCGATCTCGGGCAAGCTCATTTTTGCTTCGTCCTGTGTCTAAAAGCACGGCACAACCTTTTTTTGTCCCCCCCCCCCCCTTTTCTTTTGAAAACCTTTTTGGTTGTCTCTAAAAAGTGCCTTTTGTCCGATCAGGAAGGTCTGGAAAAATCTCTATCGTCGACGACTTTTCTGTGCATGCCGAACGTCCTCACGCGGCCTCGATATTTCATTGATCGGCACCGGTGTCGGCGGTTCAAAGACGCTCAGCCGGCACGCAGCCTTCTCAAACTCGCCGCTACGCTGCTTCACCCCTCCCCCCCTTCCCCCCCCTCTCGTTCCACCACCACCGGCATGTCAAATGCATCAACGGCGGGTC